TCATTAGATGGCTAGGACCAAGTTGTTTGACGCAAGTTCCCATACGCCCTCGTCTTCTCAAGTTCCTTTAGAAAACCCTCTAGTATAAAGTAAAAAATCCCGTCATCTTAACCAGAGCGACTCACCTGAAAATAGGGTGAATGCTCCGACTACTCGCACTCGAATTGCCCTGAGTAGTTACTAGGAATCCTTAGGTATAAATACTCAATTCCTAACGATGTTGAATTGAGGATTCCTAACCTCCATTGGGTTGTGTTAGTTTTTACCCCCAAATGTTTGAATACGGGGTTAGTAGGTTGCCCTTACACCCCTTTGCCCAATTTTTCCTTAATGCTGTCAATTTGACTCTTGCCCAATTAACACCCAACGGTTGGGGTACTTTAATGGGGTTTTGGTATTTGTGGTGGAGACTCTATAAGGATAGGACCTGCATTTTATTTGTTGAACAAATGCTAGCCATCCACACCATAAAGAAATCTTCTAAAGCCCTTGTCCGATTTTACTTAAGCTGTTTTCCTGGAGTCGCGAAATTAGTCAATGGGCCAGTAATGGAGAAGGGGTTTTCTTCGATTGTCAATGGTCCCACCTCCACAGAGATAGTTTTATGTTTCGGGTAACTAGTTAATGATCACCAACGAAAGGGCTCCTTGCTGCGAAATTCCCATGGGGTTTGATAGGCTGAGTAAGCTCTTAAATCCCATCTTTGTCGCTGAAGTTTTACATGCTCGTTGTACTGACAACACTATTTTGAATTTTGTAGTTCTAATCGACCCTCCGCTAGAACTGACTAAAGAAACCAGATTGATTTTGGCTGACTGTGCGGTTCTGTTAGCTAGGGATCGTTGCAGTCTCGACCTTCTGACCAACAGGAACTTGAGAAGCTGTGGTCTTGTTGCCGAACTTACCTAAGGTTAAATTTCCTCCTTCCTCTTTTTTACCAGATCTGTCGTAGAAAGTCGATCCGCTGACAAGATTTTATCTGGAATGCAGAAGAGATAAATCCTCGACCTTCTAGATTCAACAATAGTCTCCACCATGACATTCCCCTTGGAGGTGGAGTGACTAGTTCAGTTGAGAGAGGTAAAAGACTCCCGAGTTCCTTGTAGCCTGGAAACATCCAGAGAAATGTCAATAGGGATAAAAACGCCTTGTAGCCCTAGTCCACAATTGAGACTAGGCCACCAAAGCCCAAACAGAGGCGACCTTCACTACCGGGCTCTTTCGGTCCGAAGAAAGGGCTAAGAGGAAGTGGCTTCTTCTGCTGAAAACGACACGAGGAGTGCAGACGCTCCTGCCTTCGGTGTAGACAACCCAACTACTTCAGTTGAACACTCTGCTCAGAGTGAAGATGACGGGGCTCAACTACTAAAGAGGAAAATGGTGCACAATTAAGACGCTCATGACGCTCTAATTCCTGAAGATCCCCTGCTTGGGGAACTTCCAGATGCTCGCGTGGAAACTCCTCCTCCCCATATTATTCATGATGTTGATCTTCCATTCCCAAGAGGGCTGGCGTTTGAATTGGACACCCTAGGGAAAGGTCCAGAGATATCCCTTCAAAACCTCGACGAGCTCTAGTCCCACTCACCCTTGGCCGACAAAGGTAACATGACTTCTACTGCTGGCCCTATAGGCGTCAAGGAGACCTCCTTCGAAGTCTCTAGCTCCCCTCTTTGTTTTTCACCTAATCTTCCTCCCTTTCTGAGGAACTTGTGCGGGGAAGATGTCCTCTCTCTCTTGGACAAGCTCTGCCCTTACTTCTCCAAAGATTTGGATAAGCATGCTCGTAGTATCAACCCTTCATCATCAACGAGCTTTTCAAGGAAGCTGCCACATATATCGCCAAGGTGCATTTCAACTTCATTTTTCCAGTTCATGCATTCATTTCTCAAACTCAATTTCTGAATGTTGTGCCAATCTCAGGGCTTAGCTCTTTCATGCCGCGAAATAGCTTCCATCGGGGTTGAACTTTCTCAGCATGATATTGCCGGGAGAAAGAACAGACTTAAACTCATTGATGCTACCAAAAAAGTAGAAGCATGCTCTACTCAATTAGCAGAGTACAATTCAATTTTGGAAGAGCTCGAGAGGGAGCAGGAGATATTGGTTAAGGAAAAAGAGGAATTCAGACTCTGAAGCGAGAGACTCTTGCAGTGCTCGTGGCATCAAAGAAAAGCATCATAAAAACTAATAAGTATAAAGTCGAACAAACTAAGTTGGAAGAAGAAAATCTCTGCTTGCTGTCTGAAACTTCTGAGATGATAGCTGAGGTCGCTAGGGTTAAATCTTTAAATAAACAATTAAAGAACAACCTTGCTAAATTGAAGACCTCATCAGACAGCTTTTTGAGACTTGAGACTGACAAAAGATCTCAAGTTGAGTCTGAACTGGGCGAAGTCAAAGCTAAGTTCGGACAAATTGAATTTAAACTAGGCGAGGTTAGATCTAAGCTCGGACAATCTGAATCAAGTTTGGCAGAAATTGAGTCCAAATTTCCTGAATTTGAGAAGATGGTTGTTGCGTCAGTATCCATGTTGGTAGATGCTGAATCCAGACTTGCCAACGCTGAAGCTCAACTGGGTAACTTCGACCTTCTTTACAAAGTCATGTCTCAATTTCCAGATTTTAAGGAACTTGAGAGGGACTTAGAATTAGCGGTCTCAATTATACGGTTCAATGGTTGAAGAGCTTCGCTCAGGAAGTCGACTTTGACCAGTTAGTTTCCCATGTTTGATTAGGACTGAAAGCGCACCATGAAGAAGTCAACAGATCAAACTGCCGAACTTGACCAAGCTGCTACATAGCACGCTCATTTTGTGGTGAGAAATGACGAGCTCCAATCTCAGGTCGAAGCCGAAGGAATTAATCTCGCTCCTATCGATTTGGCAATTAGGGAGACTAATGAAGTTGTTGATTTGCCGACCTTGTCAATTCCGACCTTGTGTAGTCCATAATTATTTTTGTAGATTTTTACCGTATATTTGAAATGTATCCGCCCATAAATGACGACACTTTTTCCTTCAAATCAAATCAAATTTACAATCTGATTTATTGCTCTCTCTCATCATTTCGATTTAAGGCACGTATAGTAGCCTTTAACACCTGTTTAGTGCCCTTTCGAATTTCTATGCCATCAATTAATTTCAATCGACGCTTCAACAACCCGAAATTAGTCTATTTAAATGTTTTCGCCTCTCTTAATTTTTCATTCAACCTTCACTTCGCCTCTTTTCATTATTTAGGGAAAATGTCTGAGGAGGTGAACGATCCTTTCGTTTCTTTCATGGATATCTCTTATGATCATTCGGGAGACTCTTCTTCTTCTTCGTCTTCCCCATCCTCTGTTCCTTCAAACCCCCCGGTTCTCTCCCTGGTTGCTAGGGAACCTTCCTCTAGTCGACGACCTTGATACATTGCGCCTCCTTCACACTTCAAACTACGGAGGGCCGAAAGGAAAATTGCCAAACTTGAGAGGGAAGTTGCTAACCTCGAAAGCGAACTTCAAGAAACGACTATCAAGGCCTTGAAGTTCGAGTTTGAATGTCAATCGTTGAAAGAGGAGAAAGAAAACTGGGAGGAAGAGAAACATGCCATGGAAGAAGAGTGGCGTGTAAGGGAAAGGAAGATTGCCTTTCTGGAGAGGCAACTGACAATGGAGAAGCGATGGGGCTGGGGCCGCCGCTGATAATATCCCTCCCCCTTTTTTTGTTATCTTGATGTAGTATTCCTGTACTCAATTCGGAAAAGAAATTTTTGTCGGGGGTTATAAATATCGAATTATTGCTGCACCGATTTCTTTGTCTATTGTCGAGTTTCTGCCTTTTAGCCTTTTAGCAATAAACTTAGCTACTCAATGTCATACAAAAAAAAGGGAAGAAGAAAATACAAAACTCGTGCACTAAAGAGTGCAAAAGAAGAAGAAAAGGAAGAAAAACAGCAG